CCACAGCAGCTTCTTTGGATTTAAAGCAAAAAGAGACACCGAGTCAACATGCTGGTGCCACCAAACTGGAGAACTCCAAAGACTCCCTTCCAGCCATTTTATGTATATGATGAATAGTCCGGGGATGAGATGGAACCTTGAGGGACACCACAGCTATGGCAATGGACATGAATCTCCCAGCACCACCTTCTGAGATGACCCTTCCTGGAAGGGCTGAAGGCAACACATAACAGTGCCTCCTGGTTCACCTTGGACACATGACTCAGGAGGATACTATGGACTGTAGTATTCACGCTGTCAAAAGGTCCAGTGGAACTAACAGGTCACATACCCCATGCTCAGTTCCCAGCATGGATTGCCCACTAAGTCAACCAAAGTCTCTGCCCCTTAACCAAGCCTGAAGCCACTTAGAAATGGATCTAGCCAATCCATCCCATCCCACCACAAGAATGGAGTACTGGAGATCAACCTAAAATTATCCAGTAATATTGTGTGGTTCAAGGAGGGTTTTTGCAACAAAGGTTTTACCACCATCACACCTTCTTGCAACAAGGTGTGATTCTTTTAAGCAAAAAAGAATCACACCTTGTGGTAAGAAGATATTCACCCTACTTTCACACACTTAGTCAGTGTCCCCTCTTCAGATAAAACAGGCTCTCTTTAGTGGTCCAATCTGCTATGGATGACATTTCGATCCACTGTGAAGTGGTAGTGATGGGGTTGGCGTTGCCTCACAAATGAGCAGCTGTAATTAAAGTTGTACAAGTGGCCTACACTGGACAGCACTGTGAACTTTCCTAGTACTCAGAAGGCTAAACTAGCTGGTGCTCTGCAAACGTGAGATCTGTTTAGCTCAGCAACCACCTTTACTGTGCTTGCACGTAGGTGAGATGTGGTTGCACAGCCACAGGTGTGGTTGTTCGTCCTTATTGCCTCGTGCCGGTGCCATCAGCACTGACTGGTGACACGGTGTTTTCTCCACCTTAGCAAAGTTATCCTATACACAGTGATCATGGGAAGAGGGCACATGAGCACATGTGGTTGTGTGTATTAATAAACAGTCTTTCTGCAAAGAAAGCTCCTATTAACTTTGTGATAATTTTTGCCTTGAGTTTCTTTTGTCCTTAACCTTGTATGAATGTCATACATCTAAACTCATAAAGAGAGCAAGGGGTGTGGAACAGGGCCAGAGCCCGCGTCAAGGATGTGCAGGGTCAGGCATGTGCCAGGGGCCCACACCCCAGCAGCCCCCCGCCCCCATTAGGAGCATCCCCTCTTCACCATCACAGCCAGCTTGCTTGACTGCCTCTCCTTCTGGCCAGGGCACCTGCGGTCGGGTGAAGGAGGAGCAGCAGGTGCTGCTGCTTGCCTGTCCTGTGAAGCAAGAAGGCGATAGCAACGATGAAGATGAAGAGCAGCAAGAGCGGCAGCTGGCCATGTCCATGAGACATAGATTCACCAAGGGATGGCCCCATTGAGGATGTCCTGGCCAATGCCCTCCAAAGGTGGAGCCAGCAGTGAACAGGATCGTGGCCATGCCTATAGCCGTGTCCAGTGATTTGTGTTATGAGGAGAGAAGACAGCCCGGGGAGAAGGAGGAAGGTGGGTGTGGAGGCAGATTCCACTTCTGTCTTCTAACAAAATGGACTGTCCGTAAGTGCCGGTGCTGCAGCTATCACTTCCTCCACAGAACACTTTTCTTTTATTGGATAACAGCTAAGAGACTAGAGGGTACTGAGAGCTAGAGAAGCACCTTTAGCCTTCTTGGTGCCTATATTAAAGCTACCATCCCTGAGCAAATGAATTTTTTAACCAAGCAGAACACGGAATCTGGACAATCATAAATGGCCTATGAAGAGGTGCTTTCTTAGTCCTATGAAAAATCTCTCACTCTCCTGGAAACTTATACATCCTCCAAGTGTGTAAATTTCTAAATTAATTAACCACAGGAATTATATGGTCTCTCCAAGCCTGTAAGGAACAAAGAATATAATTGTATGTCAAGCCTAGTGATGAACCAAGTAATAGGTAAAAGAGATTTATACTTTTAGCTAATTTGGTTTTGAATTCTTCTGCATTAAGAAAAAAACAGTGTGTGAAGATTAATTATCCTTGTCGAAGATGAAGGAGCTGATTTCAAATTGCTTACCATGTTGTACAACTGTGGTGGGTCGATGGAAAAATGTAGCACTCTTCAAGCCTCAGCAATACTGAAACACATGATTAAAGCAAGTTTAGAAGTTTCTAATCCTCAGAGCTGGTGATCTTTCAGGCTGTATTGTGCAATGCCAAATTAATTTCCAAAGGCCTACATGTCTTAAGCAGTATAAAAGTGTCTCTTCCCAAAATGTACAAAGCAAGTCCAGAACAGGTTTCCCAGTTGCATCTGCATGGAAATTCAACTCCTTTTTTGCAGCCAGTCTGATATCTCATTCACATGTCCCTTTCCCGATATGCAGGAAGATGGGGACCTCTAACTAAGAGTGTGATGCTATACAGGTTTACTCAGAAGTAAGCCTTATTGAATTCCATGGCACTTATTCTAAGGTAAGTATATATAGTAAGATGTCATTCTGTTACCATTTTATTTCAACAGTACAAGCTCACATCTTTGTTCACTAGACACTGAACGACTGGGTTCAGACAACATGATAAGCTATATTCAAAGACTGAGTGTTGTTTGAATATGGGTTGCCATTAAACTGTAGGCTGTTGCTGAAATGCAGGTTCTCGTATTGTCTGAAGCATGGTGTACAACCCACAGTTTATAACTCTGAAACAAACCACAGGTATACTTTATGGGATGTTTGTGGTTAACAAGCCATGGCTTGCTAGTGAAGCTGAGTTCAGAAAACACAATAACCCACATTTCAACAACAACCCACACTCAATCCATACTCAACCTTAAGTGTGGGTTATCAAGTTCTCTGAACTCAATCACTGCCAGCATCCACAGAATGGAGCATGCTCACCTTAATAGGAGAAATTTCACTTCTGAGCGGAATGTGGATCAGCTGGAGTGGTGACTGTCATCAAAAATTAAAGTGATGATCATGGTAATTTTCACCTCACTCATGAAGATGTCCTTAAGGTTGTTATGCACATATTATTTTCCCAAAACAACTCCCAGAAAGACAAAAAATTGCAAGCTAAGCCAGCCAAAGTAATGTTGTGGAGGTCACTCGCATGTGTCTATGTGTACCTTGTTCTGATTTCAGCATGGTGTGAGCAGCTGAGTAAAGACTGCACAGCTCACCTGGCCTCTAAAATGCTTTACTAGTGTGGCAGCCAACACCTGGAGTATATGCAGAGCTGATGCCCAATAAAGTCAGTTAGCTATATGTAATCCAGGGGTATTGGATGTTTTTTCTATCTAAACCTGCACAGGATTGCACCCTAAGTCTGGAAAAGCAAGGGTTTCCAACTCCCATGCCTTGCCTCCCCTCTTAAGCTAAATTGCTAAAATCAAGATAGCTTCAGGGGAAACTGGAGAGGTCGGTTCTCCAAATGCCATGCCTGCCCTCTTGAGCCACCATTTTGTACCTGGACCCAATTGGTAGGCCTCAGCAGTCTAGAGAAAAATAAGGCAGATTCTTCCTTACCCTCAATGCCCTCCTTAAGATTCCTCAGAAAGGCATTAAACATACACAACAAAATGAGGATTCACAAAACGGTGTCTATCCTGAATTATTGAACTGAACAACTCTTTCATCTCTTCAGAAGACATCTGAGGAGAATGGTTTGCTTAGGGCAAAAGGCCTCAGTGCCCCTGAAGTGCTTGGTTCTCTCATTGCTCCTGCCAAGTCACTTGAAACTGACTCAGTCCTGTGTGAGAGGTCAGGTGCTCCCAAATGCGTCTCGGCCTGAGACACTGTGATCCGTCTGCTATGCAGGCTCCTGATTACATTTGTTCAGACTGGCCCACTCTCTTCTACATGTTAAAGGAGCCAACCACATGCTTCCTGCATTGCTGTGCTTTTCTGCTAGCAGCAGGTAGTTCAATTTTCATGCTAAGGTTTCCTAGTAAGATTTGTTCCCAGTAGCTTCTGTACCAAGCCAAACATTCCCTGCAAGGGCAGCATGAAGGGCAGGGACCCATATTCCAGCAGGGAACCACAGACAAGAGAGTCAGCTTGTGAAACTCACTCTGAATATTAGCAGAGAGTTCCTAAGGCCCCCAAACAGTAACATTTGCAATACATAAGACTCCTACAGGTGGGATCTCAAGGGAAGGAGCTGTTTCTCTAAGATGCAGCAGCAGCGAGGGAAGAAAATACTCCATACTGTGAGTGAGTGCAAATATAAGGTATGAAGACTCAGAGCATTTTGAGCAAATGTGCTCTTTCTTAGACGAAGCTAGGTGTGACTTTTCTCATTTATTCCATGACCTAGCTAATAAGCATCAGTGTCTTTAAGCTGACGCACATTATCTGATCTTGGTAAGACTTGCCACCTTTATCAGAGAGCTGAACACAAAGTGACAAGAGGGTGCTTAACCACAGTGCGCAAATCGTTTTCCTGTCTCACCATCATCTTTGGACAAACGGCATCTGCAGATCAAGAGGCCATGCCGCACAGGGGTTCTGCACAGGATATGTGAGGCATCTGCAGCCTGCCCCAATACAGCACTTGGTCAGACAGCATGGATCCCAGAGCAAACATTTCTTTAACATTTGGCAAAACCATAATGGATGTGCAAGCTCCCCAGCTCTTAAAATTCAGTGACTAGGAACCTAAGAGAACTCTGCAGAGGTTATGACATACCAGCATACTATCAGAGGCAATGAGGAAAACTCTGAACTTGTATTGCACTATGGAGGTATTAAATTTGAGGTAAACATTACAGGGTTTCCCTGCATTATTAGGGAAAATGTTGAGAATAAGGACAACTGACTGATAAAGACAGGGCTGAAACCAAATCTTCCCTTTAAACAGCATTGGGAAGTATTTCTTCAATAATAGTATTGTTGATTGTTCTTCACTTCCCGAAGCACTGAAAGATCTGGGTACATTTTCTTGTGAGGAAACATCATGGGAAATGTGTGATATTTTTCCAATACTTCTTCGGATGCGAATTAAACTGGGTGGAAGGTTGTGGCTAGAGAGAGATGTTTCTAGACGTTAGAGTCGCCCAATCAAAACAATGGACAGCCAGGAAATTCAGAATATACAGCTTAGCATCCCATGGAATTAATGTACAGAATTTTTGACATTAAGCAGCCAGATAGCCTGTTTTGCAGAAGAGAGTCCTCTGTTTGAAGGTGTCTTGTATTGGAGCAGCTGTCTAGTCCAAGTCTGGTTCAACAATAAAGAGACATCAGGAGGAAGAGCTGTGAAGCCTCAAAGTTGCCAGTCAGAGCACCTGGGTGAAACACACAATTATAGCGTTTATTTCGAAAATCCATACATAGCTTGTGCAAATATTATGCAGCATAGTAGCATCTTTTGTCCTTCTTTTTAGTGATGCACTTCCTTTTTGGCAATTCACAAGTGGCCAAAGTGGCCACTTTACTGAGAAAAGAGGTAACAATGGCCATTAGATTAGATTACATCGAAAGATCAGACAAATCCAGGTTCAGCGACAATGTGCCAATGCATTGCCAGTAGGTGGCGCACAACAGCAGACAAGTTATTGCCCTTGGGCCACCTGGTTTGCCACTGCGGGAAAGAAGATGCTGAATAGGATGGGCTTTTAATCAGGTCACGCACAGGGGAGGGCCATTGCTCATTGGCAGAGCACCTGCTTTGCACGCAGAAGGTCCCATGGTTGATCCCTGCCATCTCCAGGTTGCTTTGCCAGCAACCCTGGAAAACCACTGCCAGTCAGAGTAAACAAGGCTGAGCCAGATGAGCCAAAGGTCTGACTTAGTACAAGGCAGCTTCCTACATTCCTATGGCTCTTCGTATGTTCCTTGATGGAGCAGCTTTCCTGATATGACCCTGCCCATACACTACTATCATCCTCTTAGGCCCTCTTTCAGGCACTTCCTCCAAGTGAGGTTCTGGGAATGGAACCAGGGAGAAGGCCTCCTCCGTGGTGGCCCCTCAGTTATGGAACACTCTCTCCAGCAAAGTCCACCTGCAGCCAACATTGTCTCTCTTTCACAGCAGGTACTTGACAGTATATAGTGAGGTTTTAACTGGTTCTGAGATTTCTGTAGTTGTTTTATTTTTGTATGCAAATAGCTTTTATATTATGCTGTATATTATTGTTTATATTTATATTTATAAGATGGAGGAGGAGAATGATGTAAGCTGCCTTGAGCCCTTTATAGGAAAAAGGCAGGATATAAATCGCAAAATAAATAAAAATAAAAAATCTTTTATCTTGCAAGGAACCCAAGGCAGTTTACATAAACCTTCTCTCTATTTCATCCTCACAACAACCATGTGAGGGAGATTAGGCTGAGAATCAGTGAGCTTCTGGTGTAACCCAGTGAGCGCCATGACGGAGTGGGGACTAGCACCCAGATCTCCCAAGTCCCAATACCACTCCCAAATACTGTGCAACACTGTATTTTGCAGTGTTAGCATTTTGTCAACCGTCTGGAGAGCTTTAGCTTTTGGGCAGTACAGAAATACTTGCAGAAGCAACAATCTGCACTGCCACCGCTAAGTAGCAGCAAAGCCTTGCGGCCTTCCAAAATGCAGACTGTTCTTCTCGTTTTCTGTCCACATGCAAAACTACCCCTTCTAGTTCTTTCTTCTAGGAGCATACCTGTCCACCCCACCCCAAAGCTGGCCCATTTTCAAAATCAGGACACATTTCTGCTTAATAGAAAAGGGGAGCCACTCTTGCCCACCTTTTGAGACCAGTGTCGGTAGCCCTGCTTGGGTGCCATCCTGTAAGAGCAGTGAAGCTGATCAGCAGGAAGACCAGGTCCACCTCCCTATAGTCCCCTCTTGTGGAAGGCTCTTCCAATCGATTTCCACCAGCCCTCAATCATTAAAGACATTCCGACAGACTCCAAAGAACTGCCAATTTATCTGGGCCTGTAACTGAGTCAGGTCTCCACTGGAGCCAATCAGGCTCTCCAGTTTTCACCCATTACTTTTGGCTTTATTGTCATTTTTATCATTATTCTTATTACTGCTTTATGTTTTAAGTTCTGTTTTGTGCTTCCTCAGGAGGACTTACCCTAAAGAGCAGCTTATTTATAAATAAGTATAAACAGGAAATAGCTGGATGTAGTCATAGTACTTTTCAAAAGACATATATTTTATGGCATTTCCATGAATCCTTAGCGGCTCTGTTGTAAATCCCACCATCAGAATGCCTATTCCCACATTTTCAGTCTGTGCAGTGGCGGTGCGACAGAGCACTAAGCCCTTTAGGCATTGGCTCAGCACCCTGAGCAATGCCATCTTTGCAAGTTCCAAATTGCAGAAAGGCCCAGGGCTCTCAGAAGAAGCAGTGTCTCCCCACAAGACCCTCTTAGGATGATATAATTTTATTTTATACAGTTACATGTCTTTTATATTGCTATTTATGTATTTTAATTTATTTATTTGTAAGCCGCCCCGAGGCTTCGGCAAATGGGGTGGCCTAGACATTCTCCAAATAAATAATAAATAAATATAAGGTGGAATGGATTTTTTTTACAGGTGTTTATATATCATCACCCTAGGATTTCAAAATAAAAGTGCATTTGCTCAAAAGCAAGGCACCCCTTCCACTCCTGTCTTCTGCAAACCCTGTTAAACTGGCATTCCGGGAGCTGCCACAGCGAGGGTTGCTTTTGCTCACTTAAATGAAAGCACCCCCATGCATTCTTTGCTCAGGCTGACAGTTTACTCTTACGTTATAAATATGTTACATTTATACCTCACCTTTCTTTTTCTTCCTCTTGCAAGGAAGACAAAGCAGTTTACAAGTTTCTCATCCTTACCATTTCTTCCTCACAATGGCACCTCTGTGAGGTAGGTTAGTCTACAAGTCTATGGATGGCCCAAAGTCATCCGGGGAGTTTCATGGCTGAGTGGGAACTAGATCTCCAGGCTCCCCATTCCCAGTCCACCACACTCACCACCACACCACGCTGGCTCTGCATCCTCTGCTACATCTGCTTGCATCTAAATTTATCAGACGGCCCTTGCCTGTCTATTTTATCAGTGTTATTGTGAATTAGCATCCCTAAAGTGCAATGGAAGCTTCTGCCATTACAGAACAGCACCGGAAAGAGACTAGATTGCACATGTACACTGTCAACAGGGCAGAATCAATGGGGCATTTGAAATCTTGCTAGCTTAGTGGGGGCAGCGGGATAAGTTGGATCAGCAAAGAAAGGTTTGGTTTCCTTGTTTAAACTGCTGATATAGCCCTGTAACCCTCAGGTATATCCTAGGTAAATTATAGTAACCAAGATCACTAGGATACACACCAGGATTGGACAAGGAATGAAAAGCACCATTTGTGCAATGCTGCCACATTTTAGGGGTGTATAGGAATTTCAGTTCTGTTCAGCAATGATCAGAATGTACCCAGTTTACACCTTCCAGACTGAACTCAGACCCGGATAATGTGCATCTTAATCAATGGGGGAAGAATGTGTACATCTCAGAGATGTCCATGACTGAAGTGTGCATTTGGAAAAGTGTGCTCCAAAATATGCAGGGATTTTTTTTATTGCAAAAAGGCAGAAACAAAGCTCACAATCTGATACAGACTCAGGTTGGAATAAGCTTCAAGAGAGGATCTGGGAGACTGCAGCAAGCTTGAGATTTGCTGATTGCACCTCCCTCCTCCTCACAAACGCCATTGTACATTTCTGTTCCTGCAGCTGTTACTAGCGAGCCAGAGCCCCAACTCAGTTGCTAGGGCAACTTGTGAAACCCAGCAATCGCTTTATGAAATGTTACTCTCGCTGCACATGTACAGCATAGTGGGCAATTAGGACAAATGTTGGGACAATAAAGATTGCATCTGATCAAGAGATAGTGAGGAACTGAGGACACTTGAAGTTATTTATATAAGAAACTTGTCTGCCTTCAGTTCCATCATTCTTCTTCCGATCGCAATTATAAAATCACAGGGCTTTCAGTAGTCCGGGGTCCATGCGGCCATTGGCCAGCATTATCCTATAGAGTTGTGAAGAGCAATTCTGTGCACACTTACTCAGAAGTACATTTTTGCATCCAGTGGCGCTTACTCCCAGGAAAGCAGGTATACAATTATAGCCTTCAGCTAAAGACATAATAAAGAAAAGAGAGCAAGTCCAGGCTTAAGACAACACGTGCGGCTATTCTTTTCCCTGAAGTGATGATGGCAACATATTAATTTTTCAGAACAAGATAGCATTGACTAGAATGTGAATCCTGAGCATTCCCAGATCAGGCTTTTAGTGTGCAATTCCACAGCCTCTCATTCTTGGAACATTATGGGAGATCCAGACACCATCATCTTCCATTAGTAGCTGCTCCCTGTTTTCCCATTACTTCTTCCATCCTTTTTATTACCAGGAGAAAAAAATCTTAAGGCAGAAAAGATGAAATAACTGTACAATGTTTCTCAGTCATTAGTGACAGAAAATGCCCTGGAAGCATCCCATTCTAAAATAATCACTCTCCTGAACTTGCTTTTATGTGTGAACTATCCTAATCAGCCACCCATTCCAGACCCTGGGACCCCTCTAGGAGCTCTTGGGAGAACACACTTGATTGTCATCCAGGTTTCTGATTCTTAACTCAGTACACACAGGAGTGGAGAACGTGATATTCCAGACTGCCATGTTGCACATGATCAGCTTAGGTCAGGCACAGGCAATGAATCTTGTCTGGCATTCTGTCCATGCAGCAGCCAAGCAGCTGCCCAGGAGAAACCAACAAGCAGGATAGGAGTTCTACAGCACACTTTTGCCCATGTGCCCCAGCAACTGGTATACACAAGCATACTGTCTTATTAATAACTCGCTTGACCATTTACAGCCTGGTCATACATTTATGCAGAAGAATGCAACACAGAGTATATTAGGGTTATTCCTGGGAGGGTGTGCATGAATTTGCAACCAGGCTGGAAATCCAGTGAAATTTACATACCGTGGAAAGTGTAAATATTGTTCCTGATTTCTTTATTTATTCCTGAACAGTGCATTTTGAGCTTTTTTGGAGCAAAAATTCTGCAGGGCTCAGCATCTTTCAGGCTTTGTCCTAGAAGACATGGATTACTGATGAGAGTACCTCTGAGCATGCACAGAGTGCTTCTCACTGCTAAGTACTCTCTGTGTACGCTAAGGCAATCAGACTATGAAACAGAGTCACCAGGCAGCAATGAGACCCAACAACTCTGTTCAAAATCTAATCTAACTTGTTCATCAAGTTAGTTTACCATGGGGGGGCATTTTTATGAAAATGCAAGAGTTACTGTAAGGGATGTCTGAGCATCTAAAAAGGATACAGTCTGCTCATGTGAAATCTCAAGATAACACTTTAAAAATACATTAAATATTCTAAACCCAAGCTCTAAAACCTTCTGCATGTCAAATTTTCAATGCATGTTCATTACCCTAATCTAGATTTCAAGGCTAGGGAATGGAAATTGGCTGTAATTTTATTTTATTTTGTAGCTATCTTACATCATTGTCTTCTTTTAGGGCATTATGTCATCCTTGCTGAGACGCATTATCTAACGCTGGATCAGCACTAGCGATTTCTGTGGGCCTCCTGCAGCACTGCCGAGAACCACAGGTTGAAATCTGAAGCATTTCAATTATGTTCATTGCAAACTGGAAGGAATGAGGTATTTAACATCAAGATACTCCTTTTTCTTTCAGTCACTCTTCTGAGTCTTAATTTGATTGGGGGAGGGGGGCTTTGCTGAAGCCTAGAATGAAAAAGTCGAGTCTGCAAAGCTTAGCATTTAAAGAACAACAAAGCAACATGTGCCAAGAGCACAACTACCAGTCGACAGCTGAGGCAGGTGACCCAGGACCTTTGATGGGGAAAGGGCACCAAACCCAAGAAAAAGCCTCAAAATGGTTCTCTGTGTGTGCACAAGCACATGTGTGTGTGCCAGAGAAAATGCGAGTGAGAGAATGGGTTGGATCCAGATTCAGTTGCGTTCAGAGCACATCCGTTGAAATCAATGAGACAAGTCTTAACTAAGGATGCGCAAGAATACCATTTGGTTCAGTAATCAATATGAAGGTAGCAACATTCACAAATGTTTCCATGAACAGGACCGAACAGGAGATTAAAAGTTAAAAGCCTGTATGTAGGAGACAGCAAAATGGAGATCTGTCGATTCAGGTCCATGCTTAGTTCTGAAAAATCTGAGTCTGAATTTTATTATTGTTATTTATTTCATGTCTATACTCTCCCATAGCCAAAGCCCTCCTGTTTCTGCTACTGCAAGAGGGCCACCAATGTTTTTCCCTGAATAGCTCTCATTTTTAATAGCTACAAGCCTTGCAAGCATGGTACGGCCCTTCCCATGTTAGGATGAGGTGTGCCTACAGAATCTGGCCAGTGCAGATGGGTGAGCAATAACTCACATTCATTCATTCATTCATTCACTGCCTGATAAGAACATACCAGGACTCACTACATTCTTCCAAAACGGGACAGAAAGAACTTGAGATTTAAAAGAATAACATGTGGGAGAAAGTGAAAGTAACAAATTGGTATATTCCTACTCATATCTGATGTAAATCCCAGTTATTTCAATGATTCTGTTCTAAATATGAATACATCGGTATCCATATACATTGTCTCAGGTATAATATTCAGTAATAATTCTCCTTACGGTAGCGCCATTTGTAAGTGATCTGCTCCATCTTGTATGGCTAGGGTTGGAGCTTATCTAAAATCTTGAGGGGTGTGATTGTTTTTCTTAGAAATGAGTTACATTTAAAACCAGAACTGTGAGCTGTGCAAAATCTCTCCCTTGAACATCAACATGTGTCTTTCTTTAACTGAGCAGAACAAAAAGATGAACTTGATCAGGGTACAGAAGTATACTTTCACCATGCACCTTTTATAAACAAGATGGCTAAGTTTAATCAATAATGCAGGAATCCTGTTGCTAGCAGGATTTAGTTCTAATTTCACCATGAACTTACCTTCCAATTCTCTGATAAGGACACCAAATTTAATGATAGTTTTCCAGTATCCATCCCAGCCCCAAGTGAACATCACCAATGGGAAAAAAAACCATTGAAAAAACATTTACTATTGATATTTGAAAGCTGGTATATTGTGGTAGGTAAGAGTAATAATAGGATAACTTCTCGTCTCCTGTTCCCACCTGCAGTTTGCGGCAGTATCAACCCATCTTAGAGAGGGGTTGGAAGTGTGACAGGTGCACTTCTGAAGCCTCAGAGGGGTGATGCAAATGCACATTAGCCACATTACTGGGGTTACTGCCTGCCAAAGGCCTGCACCACAGCAATGGGCCCACTGGCCAAGCTCCACTGAAGGTGAGCTCTTGGCCACTGCAACCTTTTACTTCCCCTGCCTCTCACCCTGGACCAGATTATGGTGAGGAGGAGGAGGAAGAACAGCAGAGGCCCAGCTGCCTCATTCACCCGCTCCCGGCTGCTGAGCAAGCAAGTGATAGCAGTGATGAGGAGGAGGAGGAGAAGCAACAGCAGACGGGGACAGTGGGAATGAAGAGGTAGGGTCTGAGGGCAAGCACTGACAGACAGGAAGTACTGGATGCCAGGAAGCACTTCCTGACAGTCAGGACCCCGAGGGTGCGGAATGGGCTTCCATGGGAGGTGGTTGAGGCCCCATCGGTGCGGGTGTTCAAGGATAGGCTGGACATGCACATGGTGGGCATGTTGTGAGCGGAGCCGGCTGGTGCCGGAGGTCAGACTAGATGGCCCAGGAGGCCCCTTCTGACCCGCTCTGTTTCTGTGGCACTCATCATCACTACCAGCACCCTTTTTCCAGTGATCAGACTGTGAGTACCATCATTTACATAGCCCAAAGTGCACCACCCAGGCACAACCAGGAGGCCTCAAACAGGCTTGTGGAAATGGCAGAAAGACAAAACTCCTTTAGAAAAACCCAATGTCCTAAGCCTGAGGGCCTAATCCAGCCAAAGCACCTCGATTTAAATGAAGAATACTAAGGAAGAAACAAAATCACCTGCACTCAAGATGATAATCAGTTTATTGGCAGTGCTTCATGATGAAATATGGATGCAATTCTTAATCAACAGGCTGAAGATGCTTTAGTGACCGGAACTGCCCCTAAAGCTCTAGCTACTAACACTGCATGCTCAGTGGAAAGCCAAAGAGCAGCACCCTTGCCATGGGTTTTATGCAGTCCCTCTCTCCCTCTGCTTCAGCTTGCCCTCCTTCTTGAGAGGCAAGGGAAGGAGGCGAGAGAAGGCCCAGCAGTTCCCATTAGCTTCATCAAAAGGGTGTGCAAACATCCTTCTCTCAAGAATAGGGAGAGGAATTCACAGCGCCTGGTAGCTGGTGTATCTCAAAGTTTTGCTGAGGGTCTCCTGGTTTCTCACAAACCTACTCAGCATATGGGACTAGACAGGTGCATAATTTCAAGATGCCATTTGCATGCAGATCTGAATTTTTAGGGCATTATTTTTATATAGTAGCCTTTACACATTTTCAGTACAGACTGTCATTCCAGATCTGTTTTCCCCACCAGCGCTCACCAGATTTCTTTGTTTTACATCAGAGATGTTTTGTTGCTGCACACAGGCAAGACAAGAAGAAGAACAGATGCAGTTATTTGCATCAGTTTTCTACCTTGTAGTCTAGCAAAGCAAATGTTTTTGTGATTGCTAAATGCATTTCACTTCCTAGTTTGCAAAATCAACATCCCATCAGTCCTGGAGTTTTGCATCTACGATCTCTCTCAGATATAATCAGACTGGACTACATACGCAGTGGTGGCATTTCTATTTAAGTCAGTTCTCAGACTGAGAAGCCCAGTGCATTACATCAGCATACCTATGGCAGCAGAAGACGCGCCATGTGATTTATGAAGGGTCACCATATGTGCTGGAATGATGCAAGTTCTATGCAATGCTTGCCTTGCATTTCATCAGAAACCTATTGAGACAAAGTCATTATGTCCCCTGAACAGGGCGTGTTGCTCTCCACTTCCTGGAGCACAGGATAGAAAGTCATCTGCAAATGAGCAGGCTTTGCTGTGAAACATTAATGGGCCACCCACAGGTTTCATACCCCACAATTGTTCCACAAAGAGCACCACTGATTTTACTATTCATCTCCCACTTGTAGGCCTGGATACTGAAATGCATGAAAAGATCTGCCAAAAGCAAGGCTGTTTAAGAATTTTTAGGCATCTGGAGAGCTTTTTCTCTCTGCTTTTGTGTGACTTTATGGGTGGACACATGCACTCTTTTACAGAGGACAGTTCTCTATTGGAAGGGCTACCCTGTTTTGAAGGGGTCCTCTGAAGGTCTGTCCACACCAAGGCTGATCTAATAATGAAGAACCATCCTAAGGGAGTGCAGGGCCTTGGAGAGCTGCCCAATAGCCCCTGGACAGCAGAACGAGCAAGGCAAGCACCTGGCCACTGTCTTCCCCCTAAGATGGCTTTCCCTTCTGTTGGCTTATTGCTTTCTGCCCCATTTCTGATGCTTCTGGTAAGTATCTAGAAGGGCAGGGGATTAGGCTTGGGGACATGCACATCATATCATATCATCTATTAAAATAAATCTCCTCCTTGGCACTATACAGGAATTGACCAGGCTCCAAAACTGCATTGCACCAGTATGATTATGGCTATGAAATGCTCCAGACCAGAGCTGGGGGGAAGGGATGGGGGAGGGGGAGAAGAGAGTGCTCTTTATTTCCTCTCCGCTGCTGAAACTCATGGAGAAGAAATGAGTTCTGAAGCACAAGGCATACATTATAGTCTGGCTGAAGCCCCAGCCCCAGGCAAAATGCAAAGAACACCTACTGCAACATTTTGTTCCTAGTTCCACTAGTCCAGTCCAACGTTCTGACACAATTCTTCCAGACACAACCCTGCCAATGAAGAATGTATAACTGGTCCTGTTGTAAAATTTTCAACTGCCCGAGTTTCTGGTAGGGGAAGAATATTCCACTGTATTGAGAAAGATGAAGATGGTGGCTAAGCAGCCATCAAGCCACTCTCCCTCTCTCTTCATGTCTACAAGAGACGGGGCCTTCTTGATGGTGGCACCCAGATTTCAAAAGTCCTTCTCCAGGCATGTAGGACTTATACAACATTAAGAAAAATGTCACCTAAAAAAGCTATTTTCCTCAAAGGTTTGTGGGACATTTAATCTGCGGCAGTTTTATAAAATAGCCATCTGGCCCTTGCTTTGGGTTATGCCTTCTTTCATAGGTTGGTATTATAAATAAAATCCACTGTTACTGTGTAAGCATAGAAATGGACAGAAAGCAACTGATTACTTGGAAAACTAAGTTTTCCTTCAAATCTGGAGGAGAGGCTAATGTGTGAGACTAATTTAAGAACCCACATTGTCAGATTAGCTGAATCTGGCCTTCCATGCCTGTACCAAACTTACCTGACAGAAGATTCTGGCCAGTTCTGCATGCAACCCAGTAACCCTATTTAGGTCTTGCCCCTCATATAGTTAACAGTCTCCCCAGTAGGGCTACATCTGCTGGCATTACCTCTCCTTCTGTAGTTTCTCCACCTGTATCTTCCCACACCCACATCTGTGGGACTCTCTACCGTCAGGGTTCCATGCCTGTATTACAGGAGGCAATATGCACAGAGAGCAAGGGTTCCCCAAACGTGTGGGCAGAAGAGGAAAGCACGACCCTGCTTTTCTTCTCATGCAATTGTTAACTAAATGAGGAAGGATGCTCAAAGAGGGCTGGTGCTGTACTTTGTTCTCACCTGAGCATCCATTCTCTTTCTCCTCTTCTTCTTTTCAGGGTATGTTCCCAGATTGGCTGCTTCTGCTTTCATAAACTGCTGCTTGATGCTTTAGCTATGATTATGATAGATTCCTTACCCAAAAAAGAGGCTGAAGGAGGGATTGGATTCCCCTTTCTTAGGTCATGGCAGTTTCAGTGGCCTTAAGACTTTCTATAGCCTGGGAGGGGCAAGAATGCACTGGACCCTGGAATGTTCTCACAGAACCATAGGGTTGCTCTCTAAGAGCGTTATGAAAGGAGTTCTTTATATAAGGGAATAAAAAGTTGCCGTTCAGATGGAAGGATGAAATTGCTTAAGTGTACAGTTCTTAATTAACCTTTGTTCCAGTTGCTAATATCTTATACAGTCTTCCTTAGTTAAAGAAGTACTCCTTATTTGTTCCTTCAGACCAAGGACCCTAACCGTCACTTCAGCTAATCACTCAGTCAGGAATGGGAAATGGGTAGCAGTCTTACTTGGTATCCGACTCATCCTGCTTCTAAGATGGCTCCGATTTTCCAAACACTGCTTGCTGAAGTTCTTCCTCTGGTCAGATTTCTGCTTGAAGCTCGGCTCTGCTGCCTGATGTTTTACTGCAACGTCACATATTTTATTTATTTATTACATTTTTAAACCACCCAATAGCCTGAAGACTCTCGTGGCTTTCTGCTCTCCAGTTTCAGTCTTTAGCAGCTCCAGCCTTCTCCCAGCTGGATTCTTTCAGGCGAGTGGGCTTTCTCCTTTCTCAGCACTGTGCTAAGCTCCCTTCAGACATCAGGCTAGTCTTCAAGTCCTCTTCCAACCAACACTGTCTAACTGCACAAACTCTGACCCGGACTGGCCTTGTATTTCTGCTGGTCGGAATCTCTGACCAACCATGTTCTTGCCCCTCTCAGGGCTCTCATCTGTTGATCTTCTGTACTGACTTTATAAGCACCACTAAAATGTTGTACTCCTTGAATTATATTTTACTATGTGCTCTGTCAATATATCACTAAAGGCAACTTCTTCCTTTAGTGACTGTCAGCTGAAACCCATCCTCCCTAGCAGCAGTTCCTAGGACAGCAGCAACTGTGTTATGCTAAGTATCGGGGATCATCTTTCTCGCCTTCTCTCCTTCAGATGTTCCTCATATGACACTCACTGGAATATAAACTTTACAGCACACAAACAGATAAGAATACAGCATTTCTCCACAGGAAGCTTTCCAGTTTGTGAAGTCTTAGGATGGCCAGGTGACATGCTTTAAAGAGGACAATCCTCTGTTTGCAGTGGTGCCAAAGGCTGGCCCTCTATTTGAAGGGCTGTCCAGTCCAAGTCTGGCTTAAAGATAATCTTGAGAAGGGCAAGCAGCCACCTTAGTGTTTCCAGCCACAGCTGGTGCTTGGGAAGCAGAGTGCACAAGCACACCGCTCACCTAGTCCACCTTCCACACTCTTCTGAAATGTACTGTATTTCTATTTAAAGCACCATTTGCATCAATACATACAAGTTAACAAATGCTTGTGTTATGCAAATTTGGCCACATGTTACCCTTTTGGGCAATGTGTTAGAAGCAACCCAAACTACCCCTAATCCGAACCAGTGTCGTCCCAGAACAGCTTTACTCCTTGCTTCCTCAGAACCATGTCAAACATGAGAGAGTGCAAGGAAATGGATGAGGGAAAACCTTTCCCACCCATATTTCCATTTTGCATTTGTTCCATTTAACGCCATGACTTTATTACAGTTCATTGACTGTGCTGAGTTCTTGGCTGTGCGGAGGCAACATAAGATGAACTGACCCAGCTTTTTAAAATGAGCTCAGCCAAGTGAAGAGATCGTTTTTCTCTCCTGACATTTTCAACTACTTAGATGCTTAATTATCTGTTACCAGAATGTCTCCCTGTAAGCGCCAGCAATTTCACCCATTAGCAATTAGCTACTGAACTTAGTGCAATTGAATAAACACATAAACATCCTCACCACCTGAACATGAACACAAGGAATGCTTCAGAGATATAAAAGGCTGCACTCACAAGGAATTACTGTAATGCATTCTGCGCCAAACTGTTTTTTGTGTACTGAGATCTGGTGACCATTTGCATTTCTACCCTGTACAAAGTTTGGCTATATTACTCCACTTCTGTGCTGCCTGTCTTTGAGGCATCAGTCCAATAAAGACATTCATTCCTTTCTACTGCAGCTTTACTCTCAGAAAAAAATTGTATTGTAATGAGATGCTGGGAGAAAAAGAAGACAGAACAGCCTTTTAATAACTAATCAAGTCCACAGTAGTGTTGTAGAAGCAAACGTGCATTGGTGATTTGATTCCTTTTTGAATTTCACCCTGAATAATAATGTCCCAAAGCCCATTGTCATATGGCATGGAAAGGAATGATATAAAGGCACTAGCAGGGAGAGGCAACCCGCTACCCTCCAGTTATTTTGGACTACAGTTCTCATCAGCCTCAGCCAGCATAGTCAAAATGCCAGGTCGGTCAATAATAAATCTTCCCTCATCCATGACTTGATTGTGGAGGAGGGGGCCAACCTGGCTTGCATAACGGAGACCTGGGCGGAAGAGGGTGGGGATGTCGCCCTCTCTCAAATGTGCCCGCCCAGGTATCTGGTTCAGCACTGTTCACGCCCAGAGGGGAGGGGAGGGGGGGTCGCTTTGGTCTACCCAGCTTCCATCTCTCTCACGGGACTTCCAGTCCCTTCGAGACCAGGGCTGGAGTGCCTCTACTTGGTGTTGGGCAACCGAGACAGATTGGGGATTCTGTTGGTGTACCGTGCACCCTTCTGCCCAACAGTCTCCCTACCTGAGCTGACGGAGACCGTTTCGGACCTGGTGTTGAGGACCCCCAGGATGTTGGTCCTGGGGGACTTCAATCTCCATACCGAGACTGGTCTGACCAGGGCGGCTCAGGACTTCATGGCCTCCATGACGGCCATGGGGCTGTCTCAACATGTCTCCGGCCCGACCCATGAACGTGGACACACTCTGGACCTGGTTTTCTCGACGGGGCAGGAAGAGGGTGGTCTGAGGGTGAAGAATTTATACTTGACTCCCCTGTCATGGTCAGATCACTTCCTGGTGAGGTTTATGCTTGTAAGGGTGTGGACCCGATTGTGTGGGTCCGTCCCCAGAGCCGGATGGATCTGGATGGATTCCTGAAGGCCCTGGGGGAGTTTCCGGCTGACAAGACTGGTGCTCCTGTCGAGGCTCTGGTCAAACTGTGGAATGGGGAGATGACCAGGGCTATGGACACGATCGCTCCTAAGTGTCCTCTCCCACCAGGCAGAGCCCGCTCTTCCCCCTGGTATACACCTGAATTGTGGGCAATGAAGCAGGTTGGGAGATGGCTAGAGCGTAGGTGGAGGAGATCACGGGATGAATCTGACCGAACACACTTGAGAGCCCACTATCGGGCCTATGCTGTGGTGGTGAGGGCGGCGAAAAAGAGGTTTTTTTCCGCTTCCATTGCCTCCTCACAATGCCGTCTGGAGGAGCTTTTTCGAGTGGTGCAAGGCCTGGTTCGTCTGGGTCCTAAGGAAGATGCGGTTCCACCCTCAAAGGCCCGCTGTGATGACTTTGCCAGGCATTTCAGGGAGAAAATCGCTCAGATTCGTCACGAGCTGGACACCACTAATGAATCAGAGGTTTCTGGGGAGACGCCAATGCTGCCATCTGGTCCAGAATTATTGGATGAATTTCAGTTATTGTAGCCCGATGATGTGGACAAGCTGCTTGGTCGAGTACGTCCCACCACTTGCCTATTGGACCCTTGCCCGTCTTGGTTAATAAATAATTCCAAGCACAGGATTGGGACCTGGATCTTGGAAGTGGTTAACACTTCTCTGAGGGAGGGTCAGGTGCCTGCCCCTTTAAAGGAGGTGGTAGTCCAACCGGTCCTGAAGAAAGCATCACTGGATCCAGAGATGGCCACTAATTATAGACCTGTGGCCAACATCCCGTTTCTGGGCAAGGTGTTAGAGCAGGTGGTGGCGGGACAACTCCAAACACTCCTGGATGAAACTGATTAGCTAGACCCATTTCAGTCCGGCTTCAGATCCGGGTACGGTACTGAATCTGCCTTGGTCACCCTGTACGATGACCTGTGCAGGGAGAAGGACAGGGGGAGTGCGTCCCTGTTGGTTCTCCTGGACCTCTCAGCGGCTTTTGATACCATCGACCATGGTATCCTTCTGGATAGGCTAGCGGGATTGGGGGTCGGAGGCACTGCTTTGCAGTGGTTCCGCCCCTATCTCAATGGCCAATTCCAGAAGGTGGTGCTGGGGGACTATGGCTCTGCACCATGGCAGCTATGCCATGGAGTACCGCAGGGGTCCATTTTGTCCCCTTTGCTGTTTAACATCTACATGAAACGGCTGGGAAAGGTCATCAGGAGGTGTGGGCTGTGGAATCATCAGTACGCTGATGATACCCAGCTCTACCTCTCGTTTTCCACCAATCCAGGTGAGGCAGTGGCTGTGCTGAACCGGTGCCTGGCCGAGGTAATGGGCTGGATGAGGGCCAATAAACTGAAGCTCAATCCAGACAAGACGGAGGACCTGTTGGTTGGCGAATCGAGCTTCGGAGAGGGTGGATTTGACCTAGTCCTGAATGGGGTTGCACTCCCTTTTAGGGACAAGGTCTGCAGCTTGGGAGTACTCCTCGACCCGGAGCTTTCATTGGAAGCTCAGGTGACAGCGGTGGTGAGGAGCGCTTTCCTTCAGCTTCGGCTGATCCATCAGCTGCGCCCCTACCTGGAGTACGACTGCCTGGCGACAGTGACACATGCACTGGTGACTTCCCGCCTTGACTTCTGTAACACGCTTTACGTGGGACAACCCTTGAAGACGGTCTGGATACTTCAATTGGTTCAAAATATAGCTGCCAGGCTGCTGACGGGGACGGGGCGTTATGTTCACATGACTCCAGTCCTCCGTTAGCTTCACTGGCTTCCCATTGAAGTCCGGGCCCAATTCAAGGTGTTGGTGATGACCTATAAAGCCCTAAACGGCTTGGGTCCTGGTTACCTGAAGGAGCGCTTACATCCATATATGCCCGGCCGCCCCTTGAGATCTGTGGGAGAGGCCCTTCTCCGGGAACCCTCTGTGAAAGAAATTAGGAGGGTAGGTACTCGGAGGAGGGCTTTCTCTGCGGTGGCGTCCAATCTATGGAATGCGCTCCCCAGAGAGGTCTGCCTGGCGCCGTCGTTATTTGTTTTTCGGCACCAGGCAAAGACCTTTTTATTTAAGCGTCATTTTAATTGTTAACAATATCTGCTTATTTATCTGGCCAGGGCGACTTCTTTTATATTGTTATTTATTTTATATTGTTAATTTTATATTGTTATTTTTGTATTTTATTGTATTTTATGTTGTGTTGTGAGCCGCCCTGTGGCTTCGGCAAGGGGCGGCATAGAAATGTTTTAATAAATTAATTAATAAATAAAAGTCAGGAATTATGAAAGTTGTAGTCTAAAACTTCTGGAAGTCACCAGTCTTCCTAACCCTGCACTAGTTTAATCAGAAACCTTTCATCAGTTCCAGATTATAGGAACCATCCATAAGTCAAACACATATTTTTCCATAGCTTTTTGACATTGTCCGTTGGCAACAGAATAGCCAGCAAACCTACAAAATGTACAAGTTCCAGCATTTGAGGCCAATCTGGAGGCATTTCCACAATGAAACCACTGTAGGAATTTCAAGGGATGTGTGGGGAATTCAAGGGAAGCAAAAGGAAGTTTTATAAGATTCTGCATTTACAAGCAAAAGCAAAATCCTATCCAAAAACAAATAGACAGAAAAGAACATTTTGACAAGAGGATCCAGGGTCCAGTGACATTAAAGTCAAAAACCACAGAACTGACTTTCACCTTCCCACTCCCAGAAGACTCAAGTGTAAGGGAAACAAATGTTCAAAAGTGGCTCTGAGTGAAAGAACAATGATGAAGAGCCCCACAAAATACAGTTTGGGGAAATAAGCAAAAATACACCATCCAAAAGCCACCATCTATAGTACAGAATGATTTAGCACAATATTCTGTAGTTAATAAGCATGTGGTTAGCTACTTGAAACTTCGAAAGCGGTTGACAAAATCCTCCAAATTTTCCCAGGTAAACTTAGCAGTTCAGTAAATTAGTAAGTTACTTAGTAAATTTGGCAATCAATGGACTCATGAGTAAAAAGAAGTGGGCAGTTCTCATAAAGCAAGGATGTAAGAAGGAGGCTCACGCAAGCATCTGAATTAGCACAGGAGCTTTTCAACTTGCATGTAAATGACCTGGACTCAGGGATGAACAGGGTAGCCAAATAAGGATAAGATCAGAGTATTCAGGTTGGTAAAAGCAAATGGGATTGCAAAGGGCAAGTCTGCTGTTAAAGGAAGGCATGGTTGCACCGGCAAGGTCAGACTCCCTAGTGGGACGACCCCCCCCCCCCAGAAGACCCCTGGACTTGCTCTCCTCTCACCCTCTGCAACCTCCTTGCTCCTTTCACTCCAGCCCAGATAGTGGGGGTGGTGAGAAGGAGCAGCAGCAGATGCCAGGGGCCGCTTGCTCACTGTCTCTCTGCCTTTCAGGCAAGCATGAGAGAGAGGATGTGTTTGTACATGCAGGTTCTGGCAAATTCCAGGGGCCCAAATGAGTGGACTGACAGCTCAGATTCTGAGAATGAGATGTGTGCAGGGGAGCTGGCCTATCCCTGCAGGGCTGGCAACTTGGGCTCTGATAACAAGAGGTTGTTGAAACAGACTCAGCTCCAGCTGCAGTCCAAGGCCCTGGGTACTCGCATGTGCCTGCTGTGGAAGAGATGAAAGAACAACCAAGAGGCCCAGTCAACCTACCCATGGAAATGAGGAAGAGCGGCAACATCCTGAGGGGGAGGACTTAGAGCTGGGGGGCTATTGGATGGGGAACTCCAACCTCCTGAGGAGGGGGACCCAATGGTCCATCGTCACAGTGGTAGGGTGGCCCAGGTGGGCTCTCGGAGGAGCGAAGGTGTGCCTGATTTCACAGAACTTCTTGCCCCAGGGACAGGCACAGAAGGATTCATAAACAAAGCTTTTGGTGAAGGGGGCCAGAGAGGGTTCAGCATTTGACTTTGTGCACGCTCAGAGACCTACATGTAAAATAAAGGTGTTTGGCAAGAAGCTGTGGTGAGAGGGAATTCTCCCGTTACTGCTGGGACGGAGAATTCAGCTCACAACCTCTGGTGACAATGCAGAGAGGAAGGCCACCGAGGGTGTCTTGTCAAGGATCCTCCAACACTTGGAGCCAGTACGGGTAAAGAATTACAGAACTTTACTGTTAAAAACAAAGGCATTGGAATTGTGAAGGATTTCTCATACCTTGGCTCAGTCATCAATTCAAAGGAGACTGCAGCCAAGAAATTCGAGGAAGACTGAGACTTGGAAGGGCAACCACGAGGGGACTAGAAAAGTTCTTCAGGTGTAAAGAAGTTTCATTGGAGACCAAGACCAAGATCGTCCACACTATTGTATCCCCAGTCACTGTGTATGGGTGTGAAAGCTAGACAGTGAAGAAAGCTGAGACGAAGAAGACTGATGCATTCAGAACATGGAGCTGGAGGAGAGTTTTGTGAAGACCCGGCATTGACAGAAAGATGAACAAGGGGGTCCTAAATCGAATCAAACCAGAGCTTTTTCTAGAAGCAAGACTGATAAATGAGGCTGTCATACTTTGGACACATCATGAGAAGACAAGATACACTGCAGAAGGCAATCATGCCAGGGAAAGGTAAGAGAAGAAAAGGAAGACCAAATATAAGATTGATTGAATCCATAGAGGAAGCTTGAATTTACAGGAGCTGAGCATGTCATGGATAGGACATTATGAAGGCTTTCATTCATATAGTCAGCATTAGCTGGAGACAACTTGATTGCACATAACAACATCATAAACTAGCGTCCCCTGAATTTCTTCAAAAGCCTTGACAGGGCCAGGCTGCATGCTACTTTAAACATGCTTTTTAAAATCCCTGTGCTTAAGCCAGCGACTTTCACTTTCATCGGTCATGCATGGCCCCAATCCAGGGCAGGGACCTTCTCCAGTTTCTTGCTGAAAATAACCCCTTACCTATCATTTGTGTCTGAATAAAGCACCCTTTAGGAGCACATGAGCAACAGGAGGAGGGAGGTACAACGCACAAGAAATTACATGGGCCCCAAGTCCAAATTGGGACCCTGTTCTGGCCTGGTGCCCCACCTGGCTTTTCCTTCAAAATTAGCCAGGCCTAGGGTACAATTCTATGATTAGACAGGAAAAGTTCATCAACTTCCTGCACCCCAGACTTGTAACCCTGTTCTCTATCTCGACATGCATAGAATGGCATCAATAGCGTATTTAGTGTGATTTGTAGTGGGGCCCTTAATTTAGTGGATTTCAACACATTTTGTGTCACAATCCCATTGCACAATCCCATTTTTGTGTACTTTTGGCTGTCCTAAATTTATTGCAGATAAACTTCATAAATCTGCATTCTAGAGTTATGAGCATGTATGAAAAATCATGAGAGGTCTGGGGTATTTATCCTTCTTAATAGCATGCTTCAATCTAATTCTATTCTCCATCAGACTTTCCCCCCTTTTTCCCCGTGCCCTTAAAACATCTATAAACATTCTCAGAACTTGCTTTATAGTTTTTGGGATTGAGGAAGCCTTCCAATAATTGGGGTATGTGTGTGCGTGTGTGTGAAAGCACATATCCATCTTTTACAGTACTCGCTGTCTCGTTGATAAAAGCGGTCGTCTTTGCTACTGAATACCATACAACCACGTGGCTGTGATTCAGGCCAAAGGCAGGGAAAGGCCCTCCTCCTTTGTGCCTGCAGAGGGAAGGCGGCTGGAGAAAGTCAGCCGGGCAGCTCAAGTGAGAAAAGCACAAGACAACTTGTTCAATTGCTTTTAGCACTAGGTGCATTGTGCCTTCAGATATTTCTGCACGCAGTGTCTGCCCATCTGGAACAGGCCTATGCATGAAGTTGGAGCCTGTGTTATACTTAATCCTTTGGTTGCCAGACCCCGGAGGCAATGGTTTTTAAGAACTGTGTGTGCAGTATGATTCTTAGCACATAATTTATATCTGTATAATTGCTACATGCACTTAATTAAAATGCTTAAGCACACGCATACCCCAGTTGCACTGAAATATTGCAGTTCTCTGGGCACAAGCATACGCAGCTGCTCCCTTCTGACCTTCCAGATTATGAACAATCCACCCATTAATCATGCCTCTTCAAAACTGCTTCAAGCACTTTGACCCATGGACATAGCAAAGTTACACTATGAGTTTCAGGACTGCAAGATGTAGCAGGGGACACCAACGTGGATGGCTTGAAAAAGAGATTTGACAGATTCATGGAGAATAAGGCTGTCAGTGGCTGCTAGTGATGATGGCTGTATTACCTCCAGGGCTAGTGACAGCAAGACTCTGGATACCCGTTGCTGGAGAAGCAGAATGGGAAGATGCTGCTGCAGTCATCTCCTGCTTGTAGTCTTCTTGGAGACTTTTGATCAGCCATGGGGGAAAGTCAGATACAGAACCTGGGAGGCCTTTGGTCTGACTCTTTTACGTACAGTACATTTTATGGCATGACTATTTTATCTACAGCCTCTCATGGTGACTGATTCCGACATGAGATTTTGCTTCCATAGCTGTGTAGGGATGCAAATGAAAGCAAATCCACACTGTTGGAATGCAAAATCCATGTAGATTTTCCAGGAGATGTGAGATATAATCCAGAAAAAGCTCTGTGACACTGAGATTAGCAGTAAGCATAATTTTTATCCTAAGTGTGTTTACTCATAAGTAAGTTTTATGGATGCCAACAAGATGTATTTTGAAGTATGTCTAGGATCACAGTAACTGGATTGAGACAACACAGTAACTCACGCTTACAGTGTCAGGAGCAGGTTTACCCCTTATGCATTTCAAGCTTCCAAAAAAAAAAAAAAGACAATCTCTTTGCAAAATAACTCTTTATTGCCAATTCACAACTAGCAAGCTACAGCCACTAAAAGACTAGCCTCTGAGCATAAACAGAGTGACTTGTTGAACCCAAACTAGAAACCACTTCCAAAAACCATCCTTTTCCTTAACACTAGGTTCCATCCTGTGGGGGGGTGGGTGTCTCTGGAGAAGGGCTAACCTCTGAGATATATGCAGGCTCTCTCACTGAGATTAGGGACCAGACTGGGCAAGGGCTTGTCTTCTTCCTCTCCTTTGTCCCCTCCCTCCTCTTCCAAACCCTGACTGTTCCCATGGCCTGTCTGAGCACCTGGGAGCAATGGCCTTGAGACAATCACACCCTCCTCCGCCCTCTTGATTCCCACATTTGCAGCCATCACCATCCTCATCTGAGGAGTTGGTGCAGCCCCAGCCTTGGAGAGTAAACCAAGAATAACTGCCTGGTCCATTCCCAACACATGGCTTGAGTAGAGACTGAGTGTGGATTGTTGTTGAACTGTGGACCGTTGCACCATAGTTTATCATGTTGTCAGAACCCAGGCAAGATGCTCCAGACTATGGTGAACAACCAACAGTTCGCAAGCCAACATGGATTCTCTTCATGGAATGCTCAATGTGAACAAGCTTTGGCTTTTTGACATAGCTGGATTCAGGCAACCAGCTATGTCAAATGACCATCCAGGGTTCAATGGCAACCTGTATTCAACTCATACTGTATTGTCTGAACTCAGCCCATATAATTCAACTATGCTAGGTGCACTGGAATTTTCTCTGAGTGGTGCCCATGTAGTCCTTAGTGTTTTCCCCTATTGTTGCAGTCCAACTGAATTTTCCCTCACAGACCTCACACTGAAAATTAAAAGCTACATTCTCAGTAGCAAATAAAAGCTTATCTCAGTTTATATCCAGTAATTCAGCTATTCTTACTCCTCGCCAGTCCTGTTAACCTTCCCCTTTGTTAACTTCCATTATTTTGCTTTTTTTTCCAGAACAGCTGTAGGGTTTGTCTTCCAAAAAGTAAAGCATTTCTCCCCCACACTGAAATGTTTAAGGTCACATGCTCGAACTGTTCACATACTCTGCATGGAAGCGGTCCTTTTCTCAATCAAACCCCATTTTCCTTCCTAGTAAAAATGCACTGGAACCCAATAGCAAGGGAGCAGATGCTAACACTGCAGTCTTTTCCACACTTCCTGGCCAGCGGTTGCATTAAACTTAGGGAAATGTCCTACAGCATACAAAGAACTGGGATGCAAGGCAGTCTCTAATGCAGGGCAATGGGAAGGAAAACTAGCCCTCATGGCTTCTGGTGTTAAGGCCAGCTGAATCTTGCCTGCCACAGACTAACCCATCCTAAATGGCTTCAGGGAAAGGCATAGCTGTGTATACCTCATAATGGTGTAGAAGCAGAATTCAGCACATTCTCAGAAGCACACTCTCCTTGATCATCTCTCTGCATATTTCAGGGCCAGACCTCAGGTTTTTAAACAATTATAGGCAGCACATGAATTAGATGTGGGGCTACAGCCTGCCTCCAAAATGTTGCCATTACTGATTTACCACCATTTTTAGTAGTGCGGCAGCAAAAAAGGGGGAGGACCCTTTAAAGCAAGGCAGCTGTAAGTGGGAGACTTGTTTAAATGGGGAATCACACTCATCCCGATTTTCTGGAGTGTGACGTGCCCCTAGCTGGAGCATGTGTGCCTCTTTGCTGCACCTGCTGCTGTGCTGCCAAAGTTTGGTGGCAATTTGGCCACAGTGGATCAGGTCCCCACACACTCCAGACCTGCCACTCCCCAGATTAACGGGGCAGAGCCCAACTGAGGCTGCTACCCTACACACACCAACATGGGATAAGCCCCACGGCAGAGAGACTGACTTCTTCATAAACATACTGTAAGTGCTTCTGTATGCAACGAAAGAGGAATTTACTTGGCTTAGGGGAGCAGTCTGCTATCATGGACAGAGCACTGAACCTGAGATGTTTGGGTTCAAATAGCTCCTTATTTGCTTATGCATTTTGAACATTGGTATGTTGCCATTCACAACAAAATTATTAGCAAGACATCCAAGTGTATCTCATTCTGTGTAAGGGGGTATATCTAATATCTCAATGCAAACATTAAACATACTAAAGCATTAGTCACAAAATAATAAGATTTGGCGAAGCAGATAGATCCACCCTTAAAATCAGCTTACCTTCATGCTGTAATACCCAGGGGGAAAAGTCTTTGTCTGGTGCAAAAATTGAATCAAAATTTCTGCCTGAACTTTCCTGAGGAGGACCTTCCATCAGTGCAGCACTTCAAGATGGGTCATTGCAGGCAGCGATTCCAAGAAGCCAATCACTGTGGCTAAATTAAGATTATGTGCTTCCCAATATCCCACTCATGGTCTCGATGTAATAAACATCTGATGGGTTCACATGTTCCCTTGCAGGTCGAAACCCCTTTCCTTTCTATGGGTTACTATAACCATGGCTTGACATAATCTCTGAAATGGCATAAATGACGGTTAGCACTAAGTAGATTTGATCCAATGCATGATTTGGAGATGCCATACATAAAAACCACGCCACTTTAAAGAAGAGTGAAGGACAGCATTAAGACAACACACCTGTGTAGGTCACATGATTGCTCCATCTTCTGGGAGAACCATTCCATTCTAAGCCCCCCACACATCTCACACATTCCCCCCAAAAGTAAGATTTTTGTCCACCTGCAGAAAAAGCATGAGGATAACAGAGGGAAACAAATGGCTTTATTTTTAAAAAGTGAACACTTTATGTACTATAAGAACTCGGTGTGCAAAAGCAGAATAGTCTGTCCTAAACTCATATATTCTGGGACTTCTCAAATCAAAGCCACATTCTTAGCCTCTCCGTTATGTTCTACAGCCATAGCCTGCTTTCCCAACCCCATCCCACGCCCGTGCCCTAACCCTAAAAGAAAAGCTGGGGGCTTTCGTGTCAATGATATAATTAGGATCTAGCACGATTTAGTTATATCACTGAATATCTATCACCATTAGCAGCCTAGAAAATATTTGGGGGCACGTCAACTGAGTTCTGTAATACTGTCTTCCCGATGGCACATGAAAGTAGTCCTTCTTGCTCTCCTTAAAAATGGCCCACATTTCTGGGAATCTAGCTAGCTGAAAGAACTAGGAGCAATTGTAGACAATCACAGAGACAACAATTCTTGCCTTGTTTATTCTTCATAGAATGTTTCTAATCTTGGCAAACGCAACGTTTTCGTCCAGCTCTTTTTTCTTTCCTTCTCAGAGCAAGACTACAGCTATGCCAAGAGTTAATGGCTCTGGCATGACTCTTCATTTTGCTTAATGCATGCAAGTTTGGGCCTGCCCCAGTTTGTTTTCTGCTCTGATACACGCTGTTCTGCCACATTTGGACAGCAGTGGGGCCGGGAGCGTCTTCCTTCGGTTCAGTGTGGTGTCAGCACAGCGGTCCTTTGCCATTTGCCACTTTGTCACCCTGAATGGCTGCTATTGCTATCAATTTTCTCAGCCAGGAAAAGTACATCATATAATTGACTCTGAAAAAAATATTAGAAGTTACATTTTTTCCTAAGGTATATTTTATTTATGTAGCTGTCTAACTGCTAGTGCTGCACTGAAAAAGCATTCCGCATTTTTTCCAAATTCTCATTCAAGTGTCTAGAAATTAAATGGCTTTTGAAAAGAAATCTAAAGGAGAAGAAATTCCAGGGAAATCCTCACAGGATGGGTTCAGTGTTCTTGTATTTACCTTACCATGAGGTGGCTAAAGCATGTAGCCCTCTTGTTCACTGCACACTCACCTCTCTGGCAGCTTGTACCCTCCTCAGCTTCCTGCACTTCCATTAATGCTTAAAGGAAGATGTCATGAGCTAATTATGTCCATAGGGCTTTTTCAGATCAGAAAGTGCAGGGGCCCAGCAGAAGGCAGAGGAATGGAGAAGTGTGTGGTGTTTGTGTAGTGTGGAGAGATGTGTAGATACTATTATGCAAACCTTGGCCACCCCATAGTGATTAGATTGATGACCTACAACTGCAGGCGGCTGGACCCAATGGCCTTCTTGGCCCCTTCCAATTCTACTATTATTCTATGATTCAGCAAAGTTAAAAATACCAAAAGAAATGCAAAATAAATGATGCAATGCCCTAGCAGTGAGGAAGAAACCACTGAAGCATCTTGCATGGGGGAAGAAATCTTGCAGGAAGTTGGAGGTCAGATTTTGGCATGGCACTACTAGTCCTCATACCTGCGTCGGGGCCTACAGGGAAGGAGCAATACTATCAGCACCTGCATCAGAGATGAGATACATCCCACCCTTCTGAAAAGTAATACATAGAAGAACCGTGGGAAGGTGCTGTACTTTGAAGAATGACAACTAGAGCTGAGACAAAATTTCTGAGAAGTTTTTTTCTCAGAACACTCCTGAGGTTTTTTTTTCCTCCCACCAAGCAAGTTACAGATTTTTTCCGCAAATATATCCTCCCTGCCCTTTTTTGCTTTTTGTAAAATCCATCTTCCTTTTTTCCTCATTCCCTTCACAGCATCCCAGAACATATGGGAGCAGGCTGCTAAAACAATTGATGCCGTCACCACTTGCAGTGGAAGAGCTAGTGTTGCCTTGCAGTTAAGAGCGAAGAAATGGGTTCCATGAGATCTGGGTTCTAGTCCCTACTGGCCATGAAATACCTTGGGTGGCTGGTGGCCAGGTGTTGATCTCTGCCTAACCTACCTCACAGGGTTGTTATGAGGATTAAATGGAGAGGTAAGGGACCATGCAAAAGCAAAAAAGATGAGACATATATGTAATCTATGAGAGAGTCTTTGGGCCAATACAGTGGAATATACATTTAATAAAAATACTAATTTTAAAAGTCAAAAACCTTTAGAAAAAAGAGAGAAGTTGTACTACATCCCATTTCTCTCCCCACTGCAGATATTCAGTGAAATTGCCTCCCCAATTTCTTTCACCACAAATTGTTGTTATGTGATTACAAGTCATCTCATCCTTATGGCAACCCTATGAATGAATGAACACCCTCCAAAATATCCTATCCATGACAGCCCTGCTCAGCTCCTCTAAATTCAAGGCTGTGGTTTCCTTTATGGAGCCAACAGCCTTACTGAAAGAGAGGTACCAAGGGCAGTTTCCAGTCTGGACTCCACTCTTCAACAAGAGTTGAACTGCAGGAGGTTAGCCCCAGTGGCCTTCCTGGCCCCTTCCAGCTCTACTATTCTATGATTCCTGACATGAGCAGAGGCTTTTCCTTCCAGCTTGGTAAAGGGCCATTTAGAGTTAAAATGTTCTGTCAACTCTGGGG